TTGGGGTTTAGGGTTTGTGGTTTAGGGTTTTACGGCTTTAGGGTTCTAGGATTTAGGGTTTAGGGTTGTTGAGACCTGCTTCCGGTGTGAAGCTGCTGAACTCGGCGGTTGAGCCGAACGGTTAGGACCGAGAGGACGGACATATGATCAGAATGCGGTTTAGGAGATGGTTTAAAGGATATCCTATAATATGGCCATAGTAAGGAACCCTAACAATATATACTTGGATTAGGGGATTGAGGTATGTTTCAGTATGAGCATATTCAGGAATGAATTAAGGAGTCCTATGGAGCTATTCACTCGCCCAAGATACGATGCACCCGAAGCCCAGGAGACTCCTTTAAAGGAATCTCAGAAATCATGCTCCCTGCTTCGAGATAGTAAGCCTGATACATGGGTTTAGGGTTTGGGGTTTCGGCTTTGGGTTGGATGACAGTGACGGAAGGCGCCATACGATCTTTCCTACTGGATTCAGGGCAGTGTTCAGATGGTTGGGGCAAGATCTCCAAGTTCGAGTGTCATTCGGGCTTAGGGTTCAGGGTTTAGGGTTCAGCCGTCTCCGGTGTGTTTACCCCTATAGACCCTAAACCTGTGCCCTCATCCGTAAAACACCCGACAAGAGCCCGACACCTATTGGCTCGAAAATAGCTCTGGGCGTACAACTGGACAAGCAATTCAGTCTAGAACACGAGCTAACAAACCGCTTTTCTACAACGAACTCAATCCCTACTGTGATCTTTGTTTTGGGGAGGGGAAGGGAAGGGAAGGGAAGGGAAGGGAAAAGGGTTTTGTTTAACCAGATAGTCAGGACCTAACGAAACCTTAAACCCTATAACCCCTCATAAACCCCCCAAGACCCTCCTGAAGCCCTGGGAAGTCCTTACACGCATCCGTGCGTCGCCCTACCAGAACCCTAAATGACCCAAAAACATCTCAAACCTTTCCACCCTGAACAAAACCCTATAGAAGGGGATTCAGGGCCTGGAAAAACCCAGAAAAACTCGAGACTACCCTTCCGAAGTCAAAGAGAACACCCGTCTAAACTTGCCGTTTTCGCGATTTCGGGGCCCTAAACCTCAAACTGTGACTCCGGGGTCCGGAGGTCGAGCTGGCTGAATCTGGAGCTACTCAGGTTGGCTCCATCAGCGAGAAGGTGGAGTTGTTTTTTCAAAAATCGGGGGCTGATGGGGAGTTCGGAGTTTTGGTGGTTTGGGGTGGTAGGGGGCCTTGGGGCTTAAGGTTTTCGGGATTGGGGTACAGCCGGTACAGCCGGGCGACCTGCTGAACCGGCAGGTATGTACACTTATACATCCACATACATACACGCATGCATACATGGCATGCATGCATACATGCAATCACACCGAGGTATCATAGGAATCTAAAGGGACCTTGGTTCAATCGTCTCTATCATTGGTGGACTACAGGTAAGCTTCGAAGCCCCAAACCCAAAGGGACATCCTTGAGGCACCCCATAGAATCGTATCAAGTCCTAAAGACCCAAAAACCTTTGTGACACCATTCTAGCACCTATGGACTTACAGAGCCGTTATTAAATACCCCAAGTCTTAAACCGCAAGCATTCAATCATAAAGCTCTTACACTGCAGTACCCTGAGCCGAAGCTCTCGATCCCAATCCTGACCACTACCTTCTGAAAGCTCTTTAGCAGCTCTTAGAGAACCCTTAAGGGGACCCCTATAAACAACTCTCCGCCCTGAAGCGCGGAAACCCCGATGAGCAGGTCGAATCTTTCCTAGAGCTGCTGGTGGTCGACTCAGAGTTGGAGTTTAGGGCTTAGGGGGTTCAGGGCTTAGGGGGGCCCTGTAGCCGAATTAAAGCCCTGCCTTTTTAGGGTTCTTTATTCTGGTTTCAATGTTTAGATGTAGATGTAAATAGAACTCTGAAAAGGTAGGTTCAGGGCTTAGGGCTTGTAAACATCAGTAAGCGGGGCCTGAAGAATCAACGCAGGGTTTGGTTGAAGGGTCCTTTAAAGGATCTAAATAAGGTGATTTTGAAGGCTTCGTTTAGGGATAGTCATGGTTTCGAGGATTTAGCATAGGGTCCTTGCCCGAAGCCATATACCTAGCACCCGAAACAAAGTCTCAAGAATCCTTAATCTCGCGAATTCAGGGTTTAGGGTTCAAGGTGTTGGGGTTTAGCCTTTGAGGCTGGAGCTTGGCTGAAGGGTTTCAGGGCTTAGTGCATTGCAGCCCGTGCTCAAAAAAGTGTTTAAAGGAAAGGGTTCGCCGTTTCTCTCTATGTCAGACCCAGGTGCTAAAACGCAAGCCACAAAACCAACCCTTGCTTCTTATAAGGTTGGCCTTTTGTGCCCTTAGATTCTAGCCTTAGATCACAAAGGTTAAAGGTTGGCTCCAGAAGGTAGGATTTAGGGTGCGAGGTTTCTAAACCCTAAACCCTAAACCCTGGTGACGGCTACGAGGATAAGGGCCTTCAAAACAGAAACCTCAACCCTAAATCCTAAACCCAACTCTACTCTTCTTGTGTCATGCGCTTCAAACTTCTTTCAGACCAGAGGCTGGGGGGTGTTTTTTAAAAGGATTCAGGGTTGCAAGCTTCGGCACAGCATGTTCCCGGCCTTCTGTTTGCGTTTTTGGGGTGTGGATGTGGGTTGGTTGTGGGCTTGAAAGCATTTGGGAGTTTCCGAAAATTAGGGGGTACCTTATTTTGGGGCCTTTATAATAAGGACCCTATTATTTAGGGTACTATATTAGGGTCCCGTATTTTCGGAAACCCCCATTTCAGAAATTCAACAACTGGTGGTTTCAGGCTTTGGAATTTGCTCAGGGTTAACGGGCGATGGCGTTGCCATTTTGATTGTCTTGGTTCTGGCTAGGGTGGTCCGAACACGAAGAGAAAGAACAATCTGCTAGAGCTCAAGCTCGAGAGTTTGGTATAGTGATTCAACTGCACCCTACCCGATTCGGATGTCTAGTGGTTCGTTCTGGTTCGCTTGCAATTTCAAGTTCTAAGACTGCAGCCGAGCTGAAGCAGATCAAGTTGGGGTATGTGGTTGCCCGGTTGGCTGACGAGTTTGAGGTGGGTTTAGGCTTCGAGGGATTACAACTTGTCTTTTTTTATGGTCATAGAGTTCAAATCGTAGGGGATGGGTTTAGGCTGAATCATAGAGCCCGAGTCGGTTTTAGCAGTTGGGGTCTAGAGGGCCGCCTACACCGGATGAGGCAAGCGAAAGATCCGGTTATGAACGCTCTTACTGGTGCATTCTGCTATCAACTCATTGGGGGCGAGGAACCACCGAATTCCCCCGAAATCATGCGGCAGACGGTCCACAAGCCCTCCTGACCCCTTTGCACCCTGAAGCCCCACACCCAAAAGCGCATGCTGCCCTGCTCACACCTTACTTCCCCCCACTCCAAGCTGGCCTAAGCCCGAAACCCTGACCTCCCAGATCCCCAAAAGGATCTGAAAAATAGATCCCCTAAGGGGGTTCCTATAAAGTACCCTCTAGTAGTTAGGGTCCCAAATTAGGGGATCTATTTTTTTAGATCCTTTTGGGGGTCTGACCTCTAGAATGTCGAACTTTATGCTTGTGTGATGCAGCCACAGGGTCTCATGTACAGATCTGGGGGGGACCGAAGACCGGTCGCCTCTTGCCGTCCCTGGACATGAACCGTCATAGCCCTTGTTCCAAATACATGTCTTAAGATAGTTCATAATGTAAAGCCATATGATACTATGCTATACTATACTAAGAACTAAAAACAGTAGAATGTAATGTATATGCTAGTACTCAGACTATCAACCGTACTCTACGATAGTCAACACACTGAGCGCTTTGGAGCACTTGAAAGGGAAATCGCGGGAATCCGGTATGTAGTTCAAGCGTTCTTGCTGAGGGTCCAGGTATGTTCAGCAGACCAGAGCCAGGGTTTCTTAACCCACTTCCTACGTTGGGTTCCAGGGTTGCAGCACGTCCTGTCGATGTTTTCCATCCATGCGGCGGAGCATTGCTGTCACCCGCGGTCCAGACTACACCGTCGTGAGGCCCCTGGGAGCCTGCATGGCACCATACGCCTGATGCGTAAAGGAATAATTTGGTGGGTTCCTTGTTTTGAATAAAGTAAAATATTACTCCAAAAGGCTATTAAGATTATTAAGGCCCCTGCATTGCTCTGATATCGCGAATCTTGCTTACCCCATTTGTTTCCTTGGTCTGAAGCGCACGACTTCCGAGTTTTGCCCCACAGGGGTCGGCAGCGTGAAGAGTGCAACAGGAAACCTATAAACCCTCAACCCAAGAGTCTAGCCCGGAACCAAAGCCCTCAATTTGTAAGCCTTAGAACCTCGACATACTTAAGCCGCAAACCTTAAATGCCACAAGGGCATGCACTCCGACCGGACAGCCTGAACCCAGAACCCCGGAAGGATCTAGAAAGTATAGCCTTTAATTTGGGGGGGCTCTATACTACTGCAGGGTACGGTTTCATGTGGTGTTCCTGGCGCTGTTTGTGGCTCAGGGTTTAGCGTAGAGCGGTGGGGTTTAAGGATTTTCATTGTTTCGTGCCTTTGATATTCTTAGCCCCTCAGGCATTTTGCTTAGTAAGGGCTTATTTACGTAAACTCTGAGGATTTAAGCTTTGCGCAGATTCCTCAGGGTGAAATTTGGGGTTGAGGTTTGGCGGTTTTCTTTTGAGTTTTGGAGGGCTTAAAACTTGAATTCAGCTTGAATTGGATTGAGGTTCAGGAGGTGTGCCCGAAACGTACGTAACCGGCGAAGTGTCAGCTTGGGTTCCACAGCCTCAGAGTTTCGCGGTGCGAGGCTTCTGATGGCGACTGCAGAATCTCTCACTATGCCAAGATTCTAAACTTCATACCTCAGCCTCAAAATCCGACACCCGGCACTCCAAACCAAGGCCCCAAACCCTAAACCCTAA